TTTTAGAGATGCGCAGCGGCTGAGCTGTTACTATATTTGGAACTACTTTCGTTGATGAAATAGAGCAAAATCAGACAGTACATGTTTATTGAACTGTCGTATTAAATCAATATAACATTTGCAAACTCCTTGAATCATTATTCAAATCTGTCTCTCCTTATCGCGATCTGTGGGCGCACAGAAAATGTGAGTTCTCAATACTCAAAAGCACGTGCAATCGTTTTCCGCATCGCGGAAATCATAGATACTATTGAGGTGTTTTGCAACTTCAGTGCAACGTTAGTGGATTGTGATTTATTGCAACTTAAGCAATGTCTGCTGCTGCCTTACCTTTGAGAGACAACCGATGCATGATAATTGAAGCAGCTCCGTTTTGAAAATGACCGATACCGATAATCATAAAAATGCTTAAAATCGGCCAGGCCGATAATCGGTCGACCCCTAATTCAGACCATGATTTCTCACGATATTACCACACTAAGGTCACAGCTCTAAATAAAGATGCATGCAAGATGTTCAAAAGTGTTAAAGAAAGAGCAAATTTAAGTTAAAAGGTAAATGTGGATTTTCTATCCATAATCAATCTGAATATTTCTACAATGAGCACAGGAAATTAGCTACTCTATATGCTGCACCACAAAGACCTGTGAACATCTCATCTCACAGGATGTAAACCACAAACACCTCACCCACCCATTAACCGTATCTTTACCTTCCCTGCTTAATCTAAAAACACATCAAATCTGGGTCTGTGGTGCAACACAACTGGTTTCATAAACAGTAATAAAAGAGATGAGAAGAGATTTTGTAGCATAAGTGTTTTTAAACTGGTCCAATTCAAAATATAGTAATAAGAAAGCAACAAACACAAGCTAAACTTGGCAGCGTGACTGTAAAGATTCACAGAGCCACCAACCAATGCCCTCTCACACTTCTTCTTTCATTACAACATAGTGCTGCAATTCCTCAACTTTTTTTTTTAATTATGTTTCAACATCCCTACTTTGAAACAAATTCCAAATATAAGAAACGTTTAGGAACAATCAAGTCTATTATTTCTTGATTTATGTTTTCATTGTACCAAAGGCTTGGTTATCAGTTGATCTTTGCCAGCTTTACTTCCTCCAAAGTCATCACACCTCTATTTAAAGACCTGAGCATTTCTAGATAATTCATGGTTTTATAACATCAGCACTAGCCCACTTTTAAATACAGCTCATTAGGCAAGTGCTCGGTCAAAACTCCCAAAGTCAAAATGGAGTAACAACACCAACACTGAGAAAAATGACTTTTAAGTTCTTTGACCGAATTATTATTGACTTAAATTTTCAGTCTGGTTTCTATGAATTTATATATAGTGTATTGTCTAGGATGATAGCTAGATATATACTATTATAGTTTTTATTAATATATTACATTTTCAAAAATATTAAATTTTATTTTTGTTAACATTTGAGTAACTGTATTTTTGATATATATATATATATATATATATATATATATATGTGTGTGTGTGTGTGTGTGTGTGTGTGTGTGTGTGTGTTTTATTCAAAACAATTTATTGTTTTTATAATTATTTTATTTATGTTAGGACATCAAGCTAAAGAATATGGAAATGAGAGGTATGGCCTTGGTAGTTAAGTGATTTTTTTTTTTTTATATTTTACTTTAGTTAATGTCCACTTTATTTCAAGTAAATATGTTGTTTGTTTTTAGTTAACTATAACCCTGGGATGATTTTTTTTTTTTTTTCATTTTGCCTTTGGTAATTAGAAGATAGATAAATAGATGTTTGAGAGGGACGAACACACAAAATATTACACACAAAGGCATTAAACATTGTCTCAGTCAGAGTGCATCCGGTCCAACCCATGATTGTACCTGCCATCTACAGTACCAGAGACTAAATGCAGCACTAACCTGCAGACCTAAAAATGTACAGTCAGTCAGAGGAGCTGCACTGACATCCAAAAACGTTGACATAAGCGTTCTGTCTGAGCTGAGACATTGCCTCTTCTACGCGAGGCATAGACCACAAACAACAAGACGCTCAAACCAAAGCACACATAAACTGTAACGAGCGGCACCCCAGGCGGCTTGGTCACTCACCTAAACTTTCACTCGTTCCCGCACGAAGATGTTCTGCAAGACGCCTTCACATGGTCTCTTTCTTCGCGCTTCGTTAGCAGCTGGAGGAGCGTGCAGGGTTATTGTTTTCTCTGAGGCCGGAGGAACGGTGTGTTCAGTCTCCGTCTATGCTGAGTTACACTCGAGACCGCGTGCCTTTGCTTTGCTCTTTGCTGATTGTGGCATTTCCAGCACGCGCCTCCTCTAAATTGCTACATTGTTGACATTGGGGCGATGACGTCATGGCAATGCGCCCATAGTAAAGAGGGGAAAAATGAGCACGAACCATTCAGTGGTTTCACAATTTGTGAATCTAACGAGCTAGCGAACTAACATCTTCACACCTGTAAATTAATCACCCTCTGAAATGTATAAGCGGATAGGCGTGCTAATGATTTCATAGATAATGGGGTTTTGACAACTCATGCAGCATTGACTTAAACCCTCTAGAAAAAATTATTAAATTTTGTTTATTAAATTGTTTATTAAATTATGTATTATAAGTTTAACGCATTTATTCTGGTTATTTTTAATTATTAATTTAATAAATCAATTAAATTTTATTAGCTGTAATAAAAAAATTGTCATTCATTTAAATCCCTTTCCCACCTTTTGCAAGAAATAAAAACTGTAGCAGTAACCTACTGTAAGTATTCATGTTAATAAAGATTTTTATTATTCATTCTAATTTATATTTATTTATTGTCCTTATTTTTAATTATTTATGTATAAATTAATTTAATTGTATTCATTTTCTTCAAATTGATGTCATTTATTTAAATCCCTTTTCCACCTTTCGCAAGAAAGCAAAACTGTAGCAGTAACTGTTGTATTGTTTATTAAATTATTCATTATCATTTTTATTCAATTTAATTAAAATAAACTTAATTGCATTCATTTTATTAAAAAGTAAAAATGCAGCAGTAACCTATATTGTAAGTTATTAATGTTTTAAAATATGCATAAAAATAAATATTATGATAATTTAAATATTAATAAATTAATATTATGTGTTGGACAACATGCATCCAGTCTGTGACAATGAGTATCTAATCAGTTCTATCTAATAACCTTTATCATTCATTTTTAAGTTCCAAAAACAATTAATTACAATTTGTATTTATTTTATATGTTTTTTTTTTAAAGTGCAACAGTATAATTGTTGCAAATATGGTACCAAAAATTGTGAAAATGCATTGCAACCACAGGTTCAGGTGATTCATACATTAAAACTGGATAAATCAGAATAAACACATCCAATTTTATAGAGGTTGTATGTATATTTAGATTAGAGCTAGGCTAGAGTAAGCATAACAGCACTTAATCTCACTGTACCCCAAAGGAGCTGGCAAGCAATTATATGAATTATCGGGTTGTCGCAGACAGCTCTTGCTTCTCCTTTGATTCCGATCCAAACGAGCCATAATTTCACTGTTAGGTTCAAAAATAACTGTGATAGATTCTCAAAAGCACTGACATCAAAGTCCTCTTTATTGCAGAAAATGGAGACCTTAAGATGCGAAAAATGCCTCAGCTCTGCATCCGTCCTTACAAAGCATCAGTGCAACCTGTCACAGTGTGTGTGCATGGTGCACTTTAGAAATGATTGCTTTCCAGCTTTGTTTGAGTCACTGAAGTCATTTCAAACACCAGGGATTGATTGTCAGTTCTAAAGCAGCTCAGTGTTGACAAATGAGTGTATATATATATATATATATATATATATAGTCTAAACTGCTTCCAATAAGCTAGATTTAAAAGTGGGATTGCCTAGAATTTATTGTTCCTTTTATTTTTGAGGTGTACAGACCCCAAACTCCATCATTTTAATTTTACTTATTAGCCAAATATTATTTTATTTCATGTTATTGATGCCATCTTGTCGAAATTCACGAGAAAGGCTGTCCTTATGTATATGCTCAATATGAACATATACATTTTCAAGTATGCATTCAGAAAACTGCATAAACACATCGTGTAGCCTTGTAGTCTTCCAGGCTCTTCCCTCCCAACCAGTTCATTTGAATGCAAACAGTGCCACCTCATGGCTGCGAATGAAAATGCGACTATTGAAAACGTCAAACCTCAAATTAGGCTAATTTTAATTAATAAAAATGACAAACACGAAAATTCTTGTGTGTAGGGGTAAAACTACAACGATATATTGCTGTAGGCATTTTCTGTACCATATTATTCTGTATGTAACAATACATGTAAGCCGCAATTGAACTTCTATCGCGCTTATTTATTTGGCTCTCAAGGAAAACGTGAAAGGAGATGAAAATTGAACTTAGCTGATGCAAACTGTAACAGACAATGAATGAGAGAGGCGATGGATTACTATCAACCGCCGTCTGACAGCTGTCAGGGAGGGTTGGTTTTCACAGCTCTTCGATCTACGAAGTTACGAACGCTACTATGGAGAATGCCTGGCTCATGAATATTAATCAGGATTCGTGATTGGCCGTTCACAGAGGAGCGTAAACGCTATCTTATTATTATTCATGAGTTCAGCCTTTTTCATAGTAGGATTTGTAAATTTGCCTCCCGTCCAGTAGATCGCAGTAAAACTCGCTCATATATCTACAATTGCCGAATAAACAAGACAGAAGAAAATACTGGTCACTGATACTTCCGCGTTAGATTAAAGTGTCAGATATATTCTGTTTTCATTCAAAAGATGTATCACTTGATGTCTGTCAACAGAGGTATGACGCTGCATATAATTTTTTTTTAAATGCAATAATTATACAGTGATGTGAATGTTTAATTTCAGTGTCAGTTACACATGTCAGAGTTAAATAACTGTACCATGTACCTCTTTTCCATGAGATTTTGTGATAAGTGTTCAATGGTTGTTGTTTAGCTCTAAAAATATGAATAATTTGTAACAACAATTTATTGATTTTTTTTATGGATAATGTGTTGATTATTTTAATAGGTTCCATTTAATAACTATTTAAATGCTATGTTGAATGTTTAAATAGATTCTAGCTATTTAAAAAAAAAGCAATAACAAACAATTAAGATTGACCTTTATCTTACTGCATATGTACTTAGTGTAGCATAGCCTGAAAGTTAATGGTTAGTATAAAGTTGTGCAACTAAATGTACGTGTCTTTATATGACCTACTGTCTTTTTACAGACTGTGAGTTTTATTTATACGTCTATTTATTTTTTATTTATATAAAATAAAATACTAGTAATCTCTCTAAAAATGTATCTATTTGTTTAAGTGAGCTATTTATTATTATTTTATTTTATTTTTTTACAGCTATTCTAGTAGAAGCTTGAAGATGAAGAATGAACCTTGAGGGTTTCAATTAACACATTTGTTCCACCATTGACTGAACATCTTCGGGGGAATGGACTTTAACCAACCTCCAGAGTAATGGCACGGTTTAGGCGGAAATCATTTTGTGCACTTATTGCTTTAGCCTTGGCCGTGTTTATTATAACAGTCATCCTAAAGTCTCTGAGCCCTGAGGATAATAATTTTGGCAGTCAGTTTGCATTAAGACTTATTCCACCTTCAAGACAAATGGAACAAGATAACAACGTTGTTGTATCCGCTAAACCTGCGCAGATGATACCAGCAGAGAAAGCTGATAGAATGGAGAACAAAATGCAAGATTTTCCTGAGCCAAATTACAATGTGCACGTCTTCTACTATGTGTGGTATGGGAACCCGCAGTTTAATGGAAAATATTTTCATTGGAATCATTCACTCTTACCACACTGGGACCCCAAAGTGGCCTCAGGTTATCCATCAGGACGACACCAGCCTCCTGATGATATTGGGGCCAATTTCTACCCTGCACTAGGTCCATACAGCTCCAGAGATCCATTGGTTTTAGAGGAACACATGCGACAGCTGAGAACAGCTGCTGTTGGTAAGAAGCCTCTTTGAAACGTATACATTATTTTTATTTACAATAGTTTCTCCATCTACTGAATATTTTTTGCCTGTTTCAGGTGTTCTAGCTGTTTCGTGGTATCCACGTAGTATGAATGACGACAATGGTGAAGAAATTGATAATTTGCTGCCTTTGGTTCTGGATGCAGCTGACAAATATCAGTTGAAGGTGGTATAGATATAGATGGAGGTTTGAAATTCATAGTCTTTGATTTTGTGTCTCATGCATTTTTTTTTATTGTCTCTGACAGGTTGTTTTTCATATTGAACCATACAAAGGACGAGATGATGCAAATATGCGTGAAAATATTAAATATATTGTGGAGAGGTATGTTTGATGCATTTCATTAATCTCTAGCCATTCATACTTACAAAATATAAAAAAGAAATAACACTTTCAATTTCTTAACATTAGTTAAAAGTAATGTGTTTCAGCTAACAATGACAATACTTCTACAAAGTTTATAAATTTAGGTTAATATTAAAGGAATATTTCATACAAAAATGAAAATTAGCTGACAATGTACTTAACCTCAGGCCATCCAAAATGTGGATGCATTTGTTTCTTCATAAGAACAGGTTTAGCATTACATCAAATGCTCACCAGTGGATGGGTGCCGTCAGAATGAGAGTTTAAACAGCTGATAAAAACATCACAATAATCCACAAGTAATCCACACGACTCCAGTCCATCAATTAACGTCCTGTGATGCGGAAAGATTCATGTTTGTAATAAACAAACATTATTATTTATAAGAAATTACATTTTTAACATCAACTTTATTATGGAAACAATATTATGGATAGAGGACTCGTATTTTAGCCAGAAGCAATGAGTTGATGTTAAAAACGTAATTTCTTACAAATAATAATGTTTGTTTATTACAAACATGAATCTTTCCACATCACAGGATGATAATTGATGGGCTGGAGTCGTGTGGATTACTTGTGGATTATTGTGATGTTTTTATCAGCTGTTTAAACTCTCATTCTCACGGCACCCATTCACTCTAATTGTTCTCTAGTTCAATGGAATAATAAATAAATAAAATCAATCCACAGATATGTGTTTAATAGCACTTATTGTACATTGTATTTTACAGATATGGAAACCATCCTGCTTTTTATAGATACAAAACAAGCAATGGCAAATTTCTTCCACTGTATTATGTATATGACTCCTACTTGCAAATGCCAGATGTTTGGGCACAACTTCTAATGCCAAATGGTATATCGACAATTAGGAACACACCGTATGATGGCATCTTCATTGCTCTTCTTGTGGAAGAAAGGCATAAGAAGGACATACAGACTGCTGGATTTGATGGACTCTACACGTATTTTGCGACCAACGGCTTTACTTATGGCTCCTCACATCACAATTGGAGATCCATTAAAACTTTCTGTGACTACAATGACTTGGTATTTGTTCCAAGTGTAGGGCCAGGTTATATCGACACTAGCATTAGACCCTGGAACTCCCAGAATACAAGGAACCGCATTAATGGCAAGTATTACGAGACCTCTTTTAATGCGGCTGTGGAGGCAAGGCCACAGATCATCTCTATAACTTCATTCAATGAATGGCATGAAGGAACCCAAATCGAAGAGGCCATCCCAAAGACATGGGGTAAAACTGTGTATCTTGACTATCTTCCTCATAAACCTACAGTTTATTTAGAGATAACGCAAAAATGGGCTAGAAAATTCAGTGAGGAGCAGAAGAAATGGCTGGAGTAAAGAAAAGTTAATTACTTTATTGTTAATTCTGAAAAAGCAACACTGCCCTAAGTAGTGCTTACAAGGGCCATGATTTGTTTTATTTTCTGTTTGAGTTGTGTGCAGTTTGTTTTACTTGCATGCCTTTTACCACTGTATATGACAACTTCGCTGATTAAACTTCAAATATTAATGCTAAACTGCAATCAGAAATATTCTGCCTTGAAGCTGTAAATAAAACGGCTTTACTTTATACTAGGTGTTTTAACTACACTGAAAAAAAATATGTAGAAACAATCTTACTCAGAAATTGCTAGTAAATTTCACAAATTACAAATATCGTTTAGCTTAAAATTTAGATTGATTTAAAACAAAATATATATATTTTTTGCAAATATGCATTTTAAACTACAGTTTTATAAAAATTCTTTCAAGATTCACATATGATATTCATAAACTGTCTTTCTCAGAACAACACAATAACATTCTTTAAATGTTCCACATCTTCCACATGCTTTAAATTTTAATTAAGTGCATAACATTAAAGACACCTAATATAAAGTTTGACCAACATAATTGCCTATGGTTGCTCTGGCATCACAACTGATTAATTAATTGATTATTTATTATATGAATAGAAGTTAGTAAATTAACAATAAATTATTTAAATGAAAAACATTGTGTTCTGCATTTTAATTCAACATATATGCATATATTTTATCAATATATTTAACATTTTTCCGTGGAATGCAATGGATTCGAGCAGCAACAAGGAATATAAAATTTGGCCACAGTTTATTTTGTTGTTTTTGAATTGCGGACATTTCTATCATGACAACTTTCTGAAGTTTTTAGCATGGTAATGGATATGACAATGTTAATGTATTTGGTCTTGGCGGAATAGATCTGCTACGCTGCTGCTGCTGAATTGCTGCTGCTGTTGGTTTCTGCTGTAGTTGTAGATTATTGCTGCTACAAGCAAGTTCAGGAACTTGCTGCTGCCAATGCATATGGTATTACGGTGTTGTGAGTTTTTAAGACATACTGCTGCTGCACAAATAGCATATAAAATAACCTGTAGCAGATCTATACAGGTGGAGCTGGGGAAGGTGGAGGTTTTCAGAGGAACTCTGAAAACATGCTGGGAAATGCTCGAGTGAATGCTAACCAGCCATTTAAACGTAAAGCAGCAAGCTCATTGGCTGCGTATGCAGCAAGAACCAATCAGCTTGTGCCAAGTCGTTTAACGCTGTGAATATCATCAGTTATGTTAAGACCCATCAGTCTGCGCCATCTAAAGTTTCATGAAGGAACTAGGCATTTTCTTTACTTGCATGCCTTTTTTACTCATTTATATGAAAATATAAAAGTATAAATAAATATATAAATGAAAATATATAAGTCTACTGACTTATTAAACTCAACAAATTGCATTCAGAGATATTCTGACCAGACGCTTTAAATAAACAAATTGCCTGTGGTAATAATTTTCTCAAACAATTGATCATGTAATTGCTTATTTACTCATCTTTGAATGTGTGAATTATTGTATTAAACAGATTTTTTTTTAAGGAAATTCATATTTATTATTTGAACCACGTTTTTTTCATACATCCCATGCATTTATTTATAAATAATAGGCTGTAAACCACTGAATTCAAGCAGCAATGATGAACAAAAGAATAATCCATGAGTAAAAACATAATCCAGTCTAACGCCACTGTTATGTTTCATTTCCCATTCTATGCATTTCTTTGCATTCTTGCATTTGCATGTATTAACTGCACACACACGCACGAACACACACACTCTAAATCTATAATTGCATCCATGCATATGAACAGCACGGACACTGGAAAGGTATCCGAGCGCATGTGGGGAGGGGGACATTATTCTACATCACATCACACGGCGTTACATGGCGTCCTTTCCAGCGACGCACTTGTTCGCGTTCTCCCTTTCTGACCCATAGGATCTTACATGTTTTGACTTGCAAGCGCTGATTTGAGTCTGTCATCATTGCGGACACATTGCAAAATGCAGTGATTCACTGACGCGAAGGCTATGGGTTCAGGTGCATCCTCTCCGAATATTGCCATCATCGGAGATTTTTCAGCACCATTCCGATATGCGAGGTGTGTGGGACGTAAATAAAAGAAGCGCATGATGTGGCTTTCCCTCAAGGATGTTTGCTGATGGACAGGTGAGACAAACGATTTACTGATATAAAGGTTACCTGTATGCTTTGCATATATTGTACGACACGAGTTCAGGCTTGAAATATAATTTTTTCATTCATCTCTTGGGTGATTTTTGAGTTATAATAATTAAACATGGCACGAGCTCAGGGACGATCATTCTCGTGGGATGCTTCATGCGGCCTTTTTGCATGGATACGATGCGGGTTTGCTTAAAATAGACAAAGCAGTCGAGATGTTAGAGAGAGGGAGCGTGTCATATTTAAGGAATAGCCATATTTCGTGTAGTAATATGTCAGATGCGTGTGACAGTCTGTTTTAAGATGACCTTGTTCAGCATCACTGGCGAAAGCACATCACCTTGCACGGCATCACGGTATCATTTATGTTTTTCTGAACGATTTTAGATGTGTGTTCATTAAATATATTACCAGCATGTCACTGATGGGACAGACACGAATTCGTAAAGCCTGCTAAATAAATTAGACAAATGCTTCATATTTAATGCTTCTTCTTTTCATCTTCCTTCATCCACATCTTCTATTTATTAGACGTGAACACCGAATCCAACTACCAGCATGCAACTCTGTGTCCCAAATACATCACAATACATTTAAAACAAAAAGCCTCTCTTTTCCAAGACTCTCAGAGAGACACAAGCATGCAACATTCATCAACCTTTGTTTACTTTAATAAAATCATGCATCACATGTGTATTGCTGGCCAAAAATATACAGTTGGCAGTTAGGAAACAGTATATGAAATGCCAAACACTTTGCTAATTACGAGACCCTCCCCTCGGGACCTTTAAACAGCCCAAAGTTTGTAAACCTTGAAAAATATATCATGCATTAGCAACTATTATATTCAATTATGTACTGGATGTGAGCTGGATGTGAGGTGTATAATCTATTTCCCAGAAGCCTCATCTGTGTCCTGCTCTTTTACAGAGCTTTGCTTTCATATAAGATGATTGAGTCTCAAATGCACTGATAAACCTTTTAAACAGCTCTTTCATGTGGATTAATAGCAAATGGACACTGCAGAGATGAAACGAAGCTCATTTCTCAACCATCAGTGTTGTAGTGTAACGTGTGCGTATCCCAAATCATTTCATTATATACAGAAAATGTCATTTTTATTGTCACGTTGCTTGCTTCCTGCTTTTTACTCTGCATACCTGCACATGTAAAAGTGGTAACACTTCACAAATAAGGTCGCATTAGTTGATAATACATTAACTAACCACGAGCAATGCATTTGTTGTAGTATCTATTAATCCTTGTTAACATTACAACTATTCATTGTTAGTTCATTAAAGCTCAAGTCCATTACAATATTAACAGATACAACTTTTGATGTTATTAAGCAGAAGTATTTTTCATTGTTAGTTTGTTATCTAACAAATGGAACCTTACTGTGAAGTGTTACTGTCAAAGTTAATGAATGCGAAAGATATGTGACTTAATTGATTTCTTCAATTGTTAATTTGCTTATATGTGTCAGATAAGCGCATCCAGTTAAACAGAAAAAGGATGTTATTAAGTGGAAGCCGTGAAGAGTTTTTTATTGGCAATTGTCCCAGTGAAATTGTACAGTTAATTGAGCTCTTTATTCAGTCCATTGAAGTTTATTGAATAAGTTAATTGAATGTTTATTCAGTATATTTTGATACTAATGGTTTTTAATAGCCTCTTGAAGTCATTGGTCTGCTTTTGAAGAATTTGCATGGAATGAACAGTTTGGAATGCAGTTTTAAGAAAGACCCTTAAAAGTATAGGAATATAGGATAATGGAAATAATGACATAATTTTCAATGAACAAAGAAAAATAGATTAAAGAAAAAGAAAAAAGATTATGGATTCTGTTCTGGGAATGTATGCAGAGGACAAAATCTAGTGCTTCTAGATCCTAAAACTGTTAGCTCATTTTAACATCTTGCCATGGTGGAAATTTGGTGGAAATAGGCCTTTTGGTTCTATTATCTGTTGACATCCTGAAGATGGCACTGTTCCCATGTGTAAAACTGATTGTCTGAATGTTCTTGGTAATGATCCAGAATTATTTTTGAGGATACAATCCTACAACAGGCCCAGGACTACCAGAAACACTGAGGGAAGCTCATCTCCCCTTATATTCTGAACAGTGATACAATAATATGAAGTTTTCAGTTACAAAATATTAAACTTCCTCATTTGGTTCCCCAGTCTAAAATGTTTGTTTCCACCCTACACAAAGTGATATTTGATATTCAGTTTTATAGTCAGCCTGCAGCTTTAATCCTTAAAATGCTTGACATCTACCAGCTGATATTGATTGTACAGTGATGTCTGTCTTTTTTTTTTTAAGACTGACATTCTTCTGGTAATAAAAAGAAGAAACTGGAACATACAATCATTTTACCTTCTGGATATCGGCAAATCTGTCAGGTGAATTTTTAAGATGATTTACTTTGCATTTATGTTGGATTTCTCTGTGCTTGTGATTAGTTGATTAGTCTCACACACACACACACATTCTACTGTCTTAATAATCACATGACTTCAATGTGTAAACCAGCCAGCATTTTAATATCTGAAGTGTCCTTGTACAGTCAAACATCCTAGACATGTAAATGCTTCTCAATTATGAAGTCTAGGATTTTATGTTCATCTTCATTACAGCAGCATACATATAATCAGCTGATGGATGAGACACCTCAACATATGTATTGCAAAATGTCAAAGTGCTCATTCTGAAAACTGAATAGAGATTCATGCTTTTTTAGGGCTGCGCAAACAAATTAATTCGCCTTGTACAGTCATTAACTCTCATTATGTAACTGTAATTTGTTAGATTTGTTATTAGCACAGTAATTTACTGTACGTTTTGTTTTCATTTTGTAAAGAGCATGTGTTGAAAGCAGTTAAGATTACCAGCTTCAATGTCTGTAAAATTAATAGCAATACACACAACAGTTAATTCCTATGCTAACTGATTTGCTAGTAAAATGCCATTTTATAATATAATATAATATAATATAATATAATATAATATAATATAATATAATATAATATCTGTTTCATGTTGAAGATATAATATAATATAATATAATATAATATAATATAATATAATATAATATAATATAATATAATATAATATAATATAATATAATATAATATAATATAATATAATATAATATAATATAATATAATATAATATAATGAAAATATAAAGACATGCTTACATTTTTCAGTTTTTCATAATGCTGAATATAATATAATATAATATAATATAATATAATATAATGAAAATATAAAGACATGCTTACATTTTTCAGTTTTTCATAATGCTGGCTATTGCATATTTCCAAGCATTTATACTGTTGTTCTGAGCAAAATGATGCATGGTATAAGACCTTGAATTTGCAGTTGCTAACTTGCTAATGCAGTTCATCAAAACTTAAAGACTTCAGAATCTTAAAGAAATGACTTTAAACTGATCATGTAATTTTTGCCAACTCACAACTTTCAAAACTGGTTTATGGAGATTTTGTCTACTGAAAGTCTTTTTGTAAAGACATTTAATGAACTGAACAGTCGGTATGTTGTTAAACAACAGTACAATCTATTGAACACACTGTAATTCTGTCCTTCACAGCCTCGTTTTCATTCCTGTCAAAAATTAAATATAGCTCTACCTAATAAGCAGCTGTTTCATATAATGACCCATAACCTTTTTATTTATTTATTTATTTTGTTGCCTTTCGATCTTTATCTATTTCCTTTAAAGGCCAGAGTATGCCATCTGCACCAACTTACAGAATCCTACGACCCCTCCTGCTTGGTATCTTTTTATTAGGATGCTTTGTGACTTTGTTTTTAATGTACATCAAACCGTCTACGAGCTGGTTGTCAGGCCCGGTCGAGTCAGAAACATCCACAGCCCGAGTGAAGAGCCTCCTTTCCACCCGAAGTGAGCAGAACCAGACCACCATCCTGGTCTGGCTTTGGCCTTTCGGCGAAACCTACGACCTGAACGTCTGCAGCTCTTTGTTCAGCATCGATGGCTGCTTCATCACCGCTGACCGAAACCTTTACAACAAATCCGACGCCGTGGTCATACATCACAGGGACATCACCAGCGACCTGTCCAACATGCCACCGGCGTATCGGCCCACGTTGCAGAGATGGATTTGGATGAACTTCGAATCACCTTCGCATTCATCTCAGTTACCTGGAATTGAAAACTTGTTTAATTTAACTCTAAACTATCGGCAGGATGCTGATATAGAAGTGCCTTATGGATCGATTGTCGCAGCCCAAGGAGAGGAGGACTTCGTGCCGCCAAGCAAGAACAAGCTGATTTGTTGGATCGTCAGCAATTGGAACCCAGAAACCTTCTTGAAAGCTATTTTGTCTTGTTTCCAGTAGTAAAAAATCTAAACATCCTCAGGACAACATATTTTTACCTGAGAAGAAATAGTGTATGACAATATTTTTCTTTTCTTTATTTTTTAAAATTATAGTTTTAAACATAAATCAACCATCATTTTGAGGTTCATATTTTGTTCACCCAATAATTAAAATTCTGTCTTAATTTATTCACCCTCATGTCTTTCGAATTTTACATTTTGGGGCGAACTGTACCTTTAAATTAAGAAAAAAAAAACAATGTGCCAAAATATATTTTTCCTCATTTTAAGCATAAACTTAACTGAATTTTGCTAGCTTTATCCTTAAAGCAAAATAAATAATAATAATAAAAATAATTAATTAATTGAAAAAGAATTAAATAAATAAATAAGCAAGCACTTAAACAAGCCAATGGGTAACAAAAAAGTGCATTTATTTATATTGATGTATTTTACATAAATTTAAGGTATACATTTTATCCTGGGATTTGAACCCCTGGCTTTGTCATTGCAATCAGCATGCACTACTGTTTCAGCTAATGGAATGCATTTGGTAGATTAAAAAAAACGATTATATTTGCAGTGAAACAGGTCTTATTATCATAAACAATTATGTACCTCAAGCAGTGCTGGGTAGTAACTGATTACATGTAATCTGGATTACTCAATCAGATTCCAAAAATTAAGTACTTGTAATTAGATTATATTATGTTTTAAAATGCTCATAATCAGATTACGGTTACTTTTTATGGATTACATGATTACACATTATTCACTGTAATGTAATGTTTAATGCATTTCATGATGTTGATAACAAAGAATGGAATATATTTTCTTTCTCTTTGTTTTTGTTGTGACTTTATATCAGTATGGTGCACAATAATCCCATTAAAGTCTATGTGATAAATTGGATCAAAAGCAATCTAAAAGTAATTCTAAAAGTAATTCAAAAAGTAGTCAGACTAATTTACATAATATATGTGTTATCTGGATTATGTTACAAACTACAATATTTCTCATGTAATTTGTAATCAGTAATGGACTACAATTTGTAAGTAATCTACCCAGCCCTGACCTCAAGAAAAAATGTGACCCTGGACCACAAAATCAGTCTTAAGTCGCTGGGGTATATTTGTAGCAATAGCCAAAAATACATTGCATGGGTCAAAATTATCGATTTTTCTTTTATGCCAAAAAAATCATTAGGATATTAAGTAAAGATCATGTTCCATGAAGATATTTTGTAAATTTCTTACCATAAATATATCAAAACTTAATTTTTGATTAGCAATATGCATTGCTAA